TATTTGAGGTAGTGGGGATGGAACCCAGGACATTGCATATGCTGCAAGCACTCTACTATTGAGCTACATCCCCAACCAAGATGCTAGATCTTATTTAAATATTCTGTTTTAGCTTCCCTCCTCCAACACCACTCTGGCAGTGGAAGAGGGGACACTGCCTCATTAATGTCAGGTGGGTGTTCAAATCCAAGTACCCACTCTCCATTGATACTGTAGGGAGAGATTTTCCTCCTTAGTGATATGTGGGGATAGGAGTTCCAGCTACCTATGCAACCTTCTTTGACCATACCTCAGTGGGAAGAGAGAGGGACAATCCATTTACAAACAGTGGGGGTGGAAGTCTAGGTTTCCTTATTGGTCTTTACTAGTGCAGTGAGTGTGAGGCCACAACTTTGTTCTATGGTTCTTGAGTGGAGTAGAGCAGTCATTTTCTAGTTGATGGCTTTTCTGACCATAATTCTTGAATAGCTGAGGTGAAAACTGAAATATATTACCACCCTGTCACTTCTCCACTATCTGGTTCCCTACCACATTTGCCACCATCTTTCCACTTTTCTGAGTCTCTTGTTTACATATAATGTTGAAAGATTTTAATTGTAGTTGGTGGAAAGAATGGGGAAAGTATTTATTTTACTTCATTTACCCCTTTCCTGTTATTTTTAAACAATTTTATTTTTGATGTTCTAAAGTTTCATAATTATGTGCTTCAGTTTGGGATCTTGTGTCATTCATTGGCCTGATCACATTTTACATCCTTTTATTTCCCTTTAACTCTGGAAAATTCTCTTATATTATTCCCTTGATATATTTTTTCTTTATTTTTTTTTGTTCTCTCTTGGAAATAAAGTTGGGTGATGGAATTCACAGATGTCTTTTACAATTTTTTATCCATTATCTCCTGTTTTCCATCTCTCTCCTTTTTTTTCTTTCTCCTTCCCACTCCCCTTCCTCCCTCGCTTTCTCTCTTCCTTTTTTTTTTTTTTTTTTGTTACCTTCTGGGGGAAGATTAACATTATCTCTCAACCCTTCTGTTGCATTTCTTTTTATTTGACAATACATTTATTTTAAATTTCCAAGTATTCATTCATTTATCTTTTCCTTTTGATAGGGGGGTACTGGGGATTGAACTCAGGAGCACTCGACCATTGAGCCACATCCCCAGCCCTATTTTGTATTTTATTTAGAGACAGAGTCTCACTGAATTGCTTAGTGCCTCACTGTTGCTGAGGTTGGCTTTGAACTGATGATCCTCCTGCTTCAGCCTCCCGAGCTGCTAGGATTACAGGCGTACACCACCATGCCCAGCTATCTTTTCCTTTCTTATAGCATCCTGTTCTTGTTTTATGGATGTACTATAATCTTGAATCTCTCTGAGATAATACAGGTATTTTTATATCTCCTTCTATTCTTTGAAATATCTATTTCATTTGGGATTGTTTTTTCCCTTGATTGCTTATTTTGGTCTCTTTATTACATGTTGCAGTCTATTCTCAAAGAAATCCTGATGATCCATGGTTGTTTACTGGTATTTTTAAATGTAGCAATGAAAATCTGATTGGAAACTGTGTATGGGGGCAGTGCTAAGCAACTGGTGATTTTCCTTTAGGATAATTAAAGAAAAGCTGACTGCTGTGCTACAGAGTCCCTGAATGGCCAGAATGTTAAGGTCTTTTCTCTGAAATCGTTCAGTTTCCTTAGAGAAGAACCCTCTGGTTTTGGACTAATGGGAAGACACCTGGATGCTTTGAATTGTACACAGGGGAATGGATTGATGGTTTGATATACAGTCTTCCCTGTTTTCAGCCCTACATCCCACTCCTAACCCTTCATCATACTTGGCATTGTCAAGACCCAAGACTCTCCAGGCTTCTACAAAGAAAGACCAACTCCTTCCTCAGAGACATCTCCTCCATACATACTCCAGGCTATGGCTCCCTTCACCATGCTTCATCAGTCACCATTTCTCCATTTACTTCTTATCTTCCAGAAATTTGTTGAAATCTCTTTTGTGGATGGACCTGCTCCCATTCTCTTCATCATTGTGTTTTTATACTTTTTTTTATTCCTTTATGATCATTTTAACAGGATCTCAGGAGGGAGTGGAGATAAATACATGGTAAGTCTGTCATCTTGACCTGAAAATCTACTAGTCTACCTTTAACTGTTTTTAGTTTTTCTGGTGATTATCCTCATATCTCTAAATAATATACATATATTCTATTTATCAACTTATCTATCAATTTTAGTCATTGTCTGTTGATGACCTGCTATTTATGCAAACAAACTACCCTCCTCCTATGCCTTCAGTATAGAGATGTTGCCAGTTATATATCCTCTATTCCTTACCTTTTAACCTTTAACTAATAGATTTCTATTTCTTAATTCTGTCTTCTTTAATTTTATATTAACAAGGTTAATAATATTTTAACATTCTGTCTGTAACCATAATTAAGTCATCTGTACTTTGTTGATAGTTCATTCTAAAAGTTTAAATTCAATAAAGTGTTTCTGCTTTTATGATTATGTAAATATTGTTCCATAAAGATCCAATAGGATTACATTTCTTTCTGTATACAGTATTTTTTCCTGTAGTTTCTAAATGCCTTTCTTTTTTTCCCTTGCATTGCCTGACTTTATCATCTTCTCAATTTATTTCAAATTCTCAAGGAAAGTATAAAATCATTTGAATCCCCTTTTTCCCCAGATACCTTCCTCCTGGAGCCTCCGTCTTCCTGCTCCAATTTGGACTGATTGCTCTGTAGGCCTGCGGCACAGCTGTCATCATGGGACGTCCCTTCATTACTCTTCTGGGTTGGACCCAATCTTTCTTGGACCCCATATCTTCCTCTTTCTTAATTATTCCCTTGTAGTGGACATTGTGGTTATTTTCCAACATCCATTCCACTTCTCCCCCATTGTATAACAACTGTGCAATTTGAGTGGGATTGACCCCACCAGCAGCTCTAGGTATAGGCCTTCATTGATATAAACTGATCTGAGTAATTTCATCCCCCAGCTAAGTGATGATTGGTTCAGGGATGATCCAGTCACAATGAGGCTTAGGAATTTTGTTCAGCTTTAGAGGGAAGAGGTAGCCCCTCTTCCCTGTATATGAACAAAGAAGCATGTGGCTTTGTTGCTGCTGTTTGCCATCTTGTGAACATGTAGAAGGCTTACCTGAGGATGGAACTGACAAGTGGAGGAGGCAGAGCCAAGAGAATCACAAAGAAATGGAACCATATTCCAGATCGAACCAGACCTGAAGTCTCCCCACCTATGGACTCCTAAGTTAAGTGAGCCAATAAATTGCATTTACTTTTTAAGCCAGTTTGAGTTGGGTTTTCTATTGTTTATACCTGAAAGCATTTTATTTTGTTTTTGGTGTCTCCCTTTGGAAAGGATGAGTGCAGATTTAGTGATTTGAGGTATATTGTCACATGGAAGCATTTTTTCAAAGTGTAAATATGGGAGAAAGGATATATGTGGGTGTAGGACAACCAAGTGAACTCTAATTTTGGCTTAGCATCTAAATCTCATTACCATTTTGGGGACATTCCCCCCTAGTGGGAGTCTTGGTCCCCGGATTTTCTACTATGGGAACTAAAGGTGGTCAAATAGTTCCTCTCCCTGCCCAGCAGGCAATAAGGGCTGAATACTCTGTTCACAGCTTTCAATCTGGAGTCAGCAACACACAGAAACCAGAAATACACAAATTAACAGAATGATAATAGATGAAGAGACTATATTTGTAATATTTTAAATTGACAGAAGATTGATCAATAAAAAAGGAGATAGTAAACCCATCAGGAAAGTGATCATAGGATATGAAGAGTAATTTACACAGGTAGAAATTTGAATATATTAAGAGATTTTCAACTCTGCTAATAATTAGAGAAATGAGAATTAAAATAACAGTGAGAAATCACTATAAAAGTGGTAACATGTAGAAAGTTAAATATTATCATTTGCTGATGAGGAAATGTGAGAAAAAGGACAATTATCGATGGGAGCATAAACTGGTACAGCTATTCCAGAGCAGTTTGGCAGTCTCTTACAACATTAAGTATGTATATACCATGCAATCCAGAAATCCTATTCCCCAGTATATATTCTAGAGAAATTCTCACATAGGTCCTAAGGAAATAGAATTGAGGTTGTTTGTTGCAGCATTGTTTGTGGTAGTAGAAATTGGAAGCAATCTAGGTGTCACCATGGGACTGGATAAGCAAACTGAAGTATATCCATAGGATGGAAAAGTATAAAACAACTAAAAGTAGTAAGCTACATTTACATATAGCTACATGAGTAGATCCCCAAACCTAGTGTTGAATGAAGAAAGCAAGAAACAGTAAGATTTATAGCGTAATATTTATATAAATGTAAAACAACAGTGTGTATTTTCATGGGTATGCATATATCTAAATAAACATATGGAAGATGGATTCAAAGGATAAACACATTAATTACACTGGAGAGGTTCACCACAATGGACAGGAGAATGGAAGTGAGCATGGGAACTGAGGGGGCAAAATAATAAAGGAAAAGAACAGCCACATAATGCACAATGAATCGATGATTATGATTAACTGAACCCTGAAGTCCACAACAAAGAAGGCAAAGTAACAGATGCAAGGATGTAGAGTTCATGTGCAGTGGCATATGATGGTAGGTAGCATCATGTGCACTGGGAGCAGCAGTGGGGGTGGCAGTGGTTGCCTTCCTACAGTAGGACCTTAGCTTTTGTTTCTCCTGCCTAGCCTCTGCCCACTTTCTTAGCCCAATTCTTTGGACTCCTGTGAGTTACCTGATAACCTTGCAATAAATACCTTTTCTGCTTAAGTTTACCAGCATTGTTTCCGTTATTTGCATCCAAGAATCCTGACTGATAGATCATGCATTTTGTTGGAGAAGAATACTCAAATAACTTCTTGAGAAAGGTAAATTTCAGGCTCTTTAAATGTCTGAAACATGTTATTTTTACCATCATACTTCAATGATAGTTTGGTTTTAGAATTTTATGTTAAAATAATTTTTCCTCTGAATTTTGAGGGTATTACTTTTAACACATGGTGTTTCTGATTAGAAGTCAGATGTTAACATTATTTTCATTCCTTTGGTGGCAACCTGTTTTCACCACTTCTGGGAGCTTATGTTTTTTTTTCCTTAGTTGATGTTTTGAAATGCCACAGAAATATGTCCAGATGTGTGTTTTCCCCCATCTATTTTGCCAAGCACCCAAAGTGGGTCCTTTTAGACTTATATCCCTCTACTCTGACAAATTACTCTTTTATTTCTTTGCTAATTTTCTTTATTTTGCCTATTCTTTTTATGACTCCTATTAGTTGGATGTTGATCTTCTTGGATGGCTTGTCTTTGCCTCTTTATTTTCTCTCATAATTTATCATCCCCCCCATAAGTGTGTTTCTGTCTGTCCATTACTCTCAATTTCTAGGCCTTCATTTTTCACTTGTTTATTTTTTTTAATATGGTGATGAGGATCAAACCCAGGGTCTCGCACGTGTGAGGTGAGCGCTCTACTGCTGAGCCCCAGCCCCAGCCCAATATGCCTTCATTTTTAAATTCTGTATGCTGGGTCTTTTTTTTTAACTTTATCTTTTATTGGACTTTTTAATTTTGGCAGTCATTTTTAACTTCTAAGCATTCTTTCCTATTCTCCAAAGGTACCTTTAAAAATATTTTAACTGACATATAGTAATTGCATACATTTATGGGCTATGGTGTGACATTTCAATACATGTATACAATGTGTAACAATCAGATCAGGGTAATTGGCATATCCATCACCTCAAACATTTATCATTTCTTTGTGTTGGGAACATTCAAAATCCTCTCTACTAGCTATTTTGAAACGTACAATTAAATGTTGTCAACTATAGTTACCCTACTGTGCCATAAAATGTGAGGAGTTATTCCTCCTATTCACCTGCCCCTCTCTACCTGTTAATCATACTCTCGACATACTCCCCCACACACACTTCCCAGTCTCCAGTAACCCAGAGGGGTCTTTTTCATAGCATCCTTTTTTCATTTTTTAATAGGGTGCAATATCTTCTTTGTATGTGTGCTTAATAGTACTTTACTGGAATCTTGGGGATAATAGCAGATAATTAGCAGGCCAGAAAGGAAAAATTAAATTGGATAACAGATATTACCTCTCCAAGAGAATGTCACTCATGCCCCTCTGATGGGGGGGGGGGGCTGCCTCCTGGCTGTCCGTCTCCATAGACCCCTAACCTGATAGCCTGTATGGCTCAGATTATCTTCCACCAACTATATAGTTTTAGCCACGTGCTTCCCACCTGCATTACAGAGCCCCAGCTTTCACCTTGACATCAGAGAAGAGGTCATTTTCCCATTCCTTACTCCCAGACTAGCTCATTTCCTGCTCCAACATAGCTCTCCATATGTTTATGTTCTTTCTGGTACATTTTCATACCCACCTTACAATGGTGACCCTGGTCCCCATGGCCCACACATGGTGATCACAATAGTCAGCAGCACATTTCACAGAGTGGATGGTTTATTAGTTATATTAACAATATTTGTAGTGGAACCAATAATCCAAATCTCATTCCTCTTTACAGGGATCCCTCCAACAGAAGTCAGTCAACAGCCGCTCAAATGTGCATGTCTCCTAATGTACATTTCTCAAAAACAAATAATAATTTTCAGTGACAGTCCAGTCCAAACCCATGTTTAAGATTTTAAAAAATTAACTCAGTGGAAGCAGAATACTCCTAACCTATACTCAGATTATGTCACTACATGGAACAGTTAACATTTTAATCATGGTGGATAATATTTGCTTACTCTGTACCCGGCACTTGAATTGCCTTCATTTTATAAAGAAGGAAAGTGAAGCTCCCAGGTGTCATTCGCCCAAGGTCACAGAGCTAATAAATGGCAGATAGGAAATTGCACCAGGACATTCTAACCACAGGCAACCCACATAACTGCTACACAGAGCTGCCCTGTTTTCCACCAGCCAAATTCAGAATAATGGTGATAGCACAATTTTCTCTGTTTGATGGGTAGATACCTAAGATTAAGTGATTAGCCTATTCAGGTAGGTTTGCTTCCATGGTGAACGGATGCCCATTGCTCTGGATACAGAAAACTACTACCAACTTTTATTTTTAAACTTTTTTGTTTGTTTTATGGTACTGGGGATTAAACCCAGGAGCACTTTACCACTGAGCTATATCCCTAAACTTTTTTTTCATAGAAACCATAACTTTATTTTTTCATTTTTATATTTTTCCAAAATAATAAATATAGTTTAAAAAATAAACTAGGGGCTAGGGTTGTAGCTCAGTGGTGGAGCGCTTGCCTAGCATGTGTGAGGCACTGGGTTTGATCCTCAGCACAACATATAAATAAATAAATAAAAATAAAGGTATTGTGTCCATCTACAATTAAAAAATATTTTTTTAAAAAATAAACTAGTACTAAACCTACTAAAACCCAACAATATCCTGCCTTACTCCTTCTGACTGCAAGTCTTATTTCCTAGAGGCAATGACTATCAACTATTCAACTATTTTAACTATTATTTTGTTTGTTTGTTTTTTGCTGCTGCTTCTGGCTTTTATTATTCCAAACCCAATTCTCCCTTGCTCAGAGGCTTTCTTAGCCTCCTTTGCAGCTAAGAATGGTTATACGACCTAGCTATAGCCAATGAGATGTTTGCTGAGGCTTTCTGGGAAAGCTTTGATTTCCTGAGCAAAGAGACTCACATAGCTGATCTTGTCCCCTCCTTTCTTGTTGCTGCCTGGAATATAGTTGTACTGCCTGGAGCCATGACAGCCATCTTGTGAACATGAGGAGATGAGCATGAGGATGAAGACAATACATTAAAGAAGAAAAAATTAGAAGGAATTTGCTTCCCCATCAGGCAGCTGAACCCATGCAACACTTCCTGTTAATTTAAAAAGTGAATGAATAAATAAATAAAGCCTTATGTGTCTAAGCCATTGTCAGTTGGGTATTTTTGTTGCTTGTATCTGAAAGGATTTTTAACTGATGGGCCACAGTGATTCTTTATAATATGCTTACACTATTTTAACTTAGCCATTTGAAATATTATCTCTTGATATCGCATAAGGTGGATGAGGATTTGTATCCCCCTCCATATACACCCCTACTTCCTTCCCTTCTTTTTTTCTAATATGTGTGTGTGTGTGTGTTGTTGCTAAGGATGGAACTCAAGACCTCACACAAGCTGGGCAAGTGCTGTGCCACTAAGCTATATCCCCAGTCTTCTTCTGTCTAACATGTTTATCTCTCAATTCCTAATAAATTAGTATTCACTACAAAGCTAAGGAATATGCTATTATTACCTGGATTATTTTTTGAATTCTCTTTTGTTTTCCTGAATTTAATAATTGCCTGATATTTTTTTTACTTATGCCATGCCCAACCACAATTATTCCATTTGTTTCATCAGTTCATAAATATTTCCACATTTTTCATATTTTCACAAATATTCAAGCCTATTAACTCATTGATTAAAGAAATCAATAGGGCTGGGGATGTGGCTCAAGCGGTAGCGCGCTCGCCTGGCATGCGTGCGGCCCGGGTTCGATCCTCAGCACCACATACAGACAAAGATGTTGTGTCCGCCGAGAACTAAAAAATAAATATTAAAAAA